ATTGTATGACTAATTAATTTTATGCATTTGAATTGAATAGGGTAAGTCAGTCTTGAAATATCTCAATAGAATAGAAAATCTTTTGAAAACACTAGATGGTTCCACAAGGACAGACTAGACTAGCTGTGACTTCAATTTTAAATATTTTTTTAAAAAGAAAAATAGAAGTTTAGCCCAAGTGAATGAAATTTGAAAGTTTTAAATCTCCATCTTAAAAAATGGAAACCAATAGTTACAGTGAGGGCTTTGACAATTAAGTACTAACAATCTAAGCACTCGGTTAGTTCTTTGACTGTTGATTAGGATTCTGTGGTGGTGATTAGTGAGTGCGAGGATGCAATCACATCTTTAGGGTTTAATCAGTTCAGTGCTGGAGAAGTTAGTCCAAAGATGGAGAGAGAAACTAGAACTTCTGTATGTAATTCTAGTCGGGTTTTTCCCTATGCTGCAAAAAGATTAAGGGTAAAAATTAGAGAAGCCTGCCATCTATTTTGTTGCCCTCCCTTCCCTGAGTCTGCAAGGTTTTTAAATGATAGTATTGATTTTTCTACTTCCATGATGTGGGAGTATAATGTCATTGACATCTGTGAGGGGGAGAAAAGATGCATGGTAGTACTCAAATCTGCACCCTCTCTGAGGTTCGGTATTTCATTCTTACAGTTATGAGCGGTATTTGTTTTTCCATACCGTGCAACCATTATCTGGTTTTGATGTTTGTAAATCTGGTATTTCAAGTGTTTAGCTTGGATGTATACAATATTTTGGTGTGCTTTGTTTTCTTATTCTATACGTTCTGATTATATACTGTCTTTTCAACATTTAAAGCATTTCTCTTGAAAAAATATTTATGAATATGAAGTTTTGCCCTCTGCACTCCTATGAAGCAGATAAGTGAATGTTTACATGTATAGAAACAAAGAATTGTGGTGGGTACCCTTGTCTCCAAAGGAAAAACTTTTGGATCTCTGCTCAGTGAATAGCTTCTCTGTGACCTTTCTGACTCTGGCTTGGAGTACAGGTGACCATGTGCTGAATCCCCCTTTAGAACCGTCTCCACCGGTACGCTCTTAACTCGGAGGAGAAATGCCGTTGTTACTGCCTGGCTGTGCAAGCAATCCTCCTGTTGCAGCCCTTCAGTTCACTGGTACTGCTGTCGCACCCTTTCCCTTCTCTACTGGGTAGAGCTCGGTTTGTGTAAATAGTGTTGCCTGCACCAGTGCTTGTTTCTATGCTGTTTTGTTGGCATTAATTTCTTCCATATTGTCATTTGATGATCGGTTTCTTTATTTACACTTCTGTTTGATTTTTTTTTATTATTATTATTATTACTATGTTATTTTCTAGTAGCGCCTATAGATCTGTACTCTTCTTTCATAAATTCATGTAAGCAGAAGGTTATTCCTACCCTACAAAGCTTATAACCTAACAGCAGCAATCATGTTTTAAAGCAATGTTTTCTGGGAGTATGTTGCTACGCAGATTATAATGTTTTGTTTTAATGGTGGGGGCCATCCATGTTATGTATGTTTATACAGTGCCTGACAGAATAGGTGTGAGTGAGCTTTGAAGTGTCTCAGTAAAAATAATTAATGATGAACAGTGGTAGATACTTACTCACGTGAACCTGTAGAAGGATTAGGACATTATTGTGACTGTTTTATTTAGAACAAGGGCTCTAAATGGCTGCAGTACCTTCCTGAACAGAGCATCAGTCTGGTGGGGACCAAAAAAAAAAAAAAAGTCAGTGCTTCTTGAGACAGTAATGGATGAAAAATACGCTAGAGATTCAAAGTAAAATATAAACCAGAGCTTGACTGAGAATAACGATTTGAAAAATAGGAGACAGAACTGTATTTGAAAGATAGGACAGAGTTAAGACAAATGAAAAACAAAACAAAAACCCAAGCTGAAACCAGAAATTAATTAGGAACATTGAAGGAGTAGGATAGTAAAATGCCAAATGTTTTCCAAAAGACTAAGTATCTCTCTGTTCCCATTAACTGGCCCCTACTTCTACGCTTATCTCATGTGTTACAGAAAACTGTTGTATATCAATTCTATTTTTCCATTTTGTTGATGTTTGGTTCAGTTGACTTTCGCCTCTTAAGGAAGCAAAAAATCAGTAGGACTATAATAACTGTATTTTATATATCTCTGAATGGGATGCTGCTATTGCCTTTCTGGCTGAAAGGTCCTATAGCCCAGAATATCTAATGGATATTTTTTAAGTGAACTATATAATGTTATATCGCATCAGAATCAATAGTAGTACATTATTGTAGAAATACAAGACAACGTTCATAGGGAAAATAAATATCTTTCATTTAGGCAACTGTTTGTAGCTTTAAAAGGGTTCAAAAGCATGAATAAGCTTTTGAGCACACAAGCTCTTCTTAACTAGTGTCACTAAGCATAGTGATTTTTCCTGAACAGTGATAACACTAATTATTTTGAAGAAAAAGAAAAGGGAAGATGGAAGAAATGCATCTACTTCTTAGCTCTATCATAGTATTTACATCTACAGTTCTTAACACTACAGTGAATGAATTCTGGGGGTAAGTCGTGAAGTCATAAAAGACTGTCCTGTCAGCGCGTTTAAGGAGCGGTAAGTTTGTAAGCAGAACACGAGGGGTCTAAAATACTGTAGCACCAACTGCCGATATATGTTAGCAAGCTGCAGTGACCTGCATGATCTAGCCCAGCGTCAGTCTGTATTTGAGTGCACAGAATGTCTGCCCTACTCAGCAGTCATGAGCAGCTGAGCCACAAGCACCACTGTAAATATCAGCACAATAAATTTACTCCAGCTGCAGTGTTCAGGTGCGCTTTTTTTTCTTTCAGCCATACCATAACCATGCCACACTCTTAAGAATACGTAGTTCCTGTGTTCGCTCTTCACTCTATATGCGACACAACACTGGGAGAGAGAGTTTGTAAACCCATCTTGAAGGCCAAAGAGATGAGGCTGAATTCATACAACGTCTCCTGTCTGTTTCCAGAGAAAACCCCAAAATTATAAACAGCGTTACTAAATATTCAAGTATTTAAAGTTAATCTAAATAATTTCATAGTCCACATAGCTGTAGTTATGTGTTTGGGGTTTTTTCTCTACTGACATGATGAAAATAATACTTGAGCTAATATACTACTTTGGAAAAATAAAACATTAGGTGAAAAGATGCTGAGCATCAGTGCCTGGCAAAGAAAAGCTAAGTACACCAGCTTTGCTGTGAAATTTCGGGAATCTTGCTTCTAGCCTTGACTGCCAGACTGATGCTGAAGAAAAGCTTAAACATCTTCCGTCCCTTGTGCATATTATTACATGCCTCTGGAACATTTTTCTTCTGCTCTGTATTCTCTTTCTTTGTAAGCTTTCATGAAAAGAAAGGGAATAGATTATAATAATATTGTAGCACCAATGCTATTGTGTTTGCAGTAGCCTTAGCCCAAGATAATGATTTGATTAGCATGGCTTTTTCGCTTACTAGAATTAAAGATACATGGATTTTCCTGGGATTCTGTGCTTTCAGGATTTTTTTTTTTCACCTTCTTTCTTCAGCTGTTTATCTTTGCAGAGAAGTTGGAGGTTTAAAATAGGTATACAGCCTTCAGTAACAGCTAAGGGCAAAAAATTAGTGCAATGAGTCATCACGGTCACTCCTGCAGACATTTGTAATCTGTAAGTCCTGTGCAACGCATTCGTTCAAAAGGGCCATTGTTCCCTAAATCACTGATGATAGTTCTTCTAAAATTTAAGGTTTTTTTTTCCTGCAATGTAGTTGCTATAAATGAGATTTGACATTTCCAATTTTGATATTTGAATGGCCTCAAGGAGGCTTTGAAGAATTTGACACATGGAATATGAAACACTTAACGAGAGTATTAAAGATAAACGAGAGTATTAGAGATAAACTAATATAGTTCATAGTGCAGTGAAGAAGCAGAGTAATTTAGTACATCCTAGCAATCCAAAGAATTTTAATAGTGTTGAATTACCTACAAAAAAAGCTCTATTGCTTTAATCAAATTGTTGGTAGAGGTGTATTTTCTAAAATATTAAAACTTTTCCTCTCTTTCTTTTATAGCTTCTTTTGCTTCTAGCTATATAACACCTAGAAGTTTTGTATGTTGGCAGTAGTAATAACAGATAGACAGAACTATTCCCTTTGCCAGAGGGTGTAAAATCTTGATCCTGCTGAGGTTAGTGAGAATTTTACTCTCAGTCTTAGGCCTTGAATCAAAAAAAGCACCTTTTAGTGCAGCTGGTTTTGAGTTTTCTAACAGAAGCAATTATTGTGACTACTCAGGGATGTTTATATTGTACTTGGAATCTTACAGGTTGTTTACTGGGGAGGGAAGATACTTTTCTGAGTCAATTCAGACATTACAAAAATGAAACAAAATCTTTTCAATATAGAGTTTTATTTATTCCCCTTTATGTTTCAGTCTGTTTTGCAGCAAGACTTGGCGCGGTTCATATATTTGATGTTTGACTCATAAAATTTTTAATCTTCTTAATGGAAGGAGAAGAAAAAAATTATTTTACCTTGTAAAGTAGAAGTAGTTTCACTTGTCTCTCTTGCTAGAATTTGATTGTGGTCTGCTAAACTTTTATTGCTCTTAATTTTCTATTTCTAAATATATATTCTGTAATGTGAAAATAATTTTTACACTACCCCCCCAACAAAGTACTACCCAGAGAGAATGAGTTATGTTCATTCCCTGTGCTTCCAATCTATATTAAATTTCTAAGTGATAGACTTTTGAAATTGGTCACTTTTTTGTTTTGAGTATGTGAATGATTTCCAGCTTATTTCTTTGCTTCGATAATTGTAAAGGAGAGTTCAATTTTGTGATCTTGATTTCAGTTTTGCAGATGATATTCATCCTGATGGTTTATCACAGTAGTATGTCTTCTCTCTAATGCAGACAATAATAAATATAGCTTTGCCTTGAGGAAAGCTATTCTTTTTTTTTTTTTTTTTTTTTTGTCTCCATAGAAATACTGCAGCACAGTCCAGCTTGATTCTGGAATAGACTACAGGAAACGAGTGCTTCCTGCTGCTGGAAAACTCTACTACCTGTAAGTTTATCTATGATATGGTATTTGCCCTCTTTTTCCTTCTTATTAGCCAATAATTTTGTAGTCAATGGGAAATGAAAAATGTATAGTAAAATTAGCAGAGTGTGACTTTTCCTTTCTTTGCCTTCTGGTCCATTTTGTTCAGCAAACCGCCTTCCATTATGCCTTGATATTAACTTCATTAAACTACATTTTCAGTATCCACACTAGCGTCATTTATAATGTGTGACTGAATAAAAACTAATTAGATTTTTTTGGGGAGGTGTGGTGTTTGGAGAACTGAAGTGACAGATGGTTAGAAAGTAATGAATATCCTCTTGTAAGAGATTGCACAATTCTCTTATAATAGAAGAACATCCTTATTGTATTTAAGTAATTAAGTATTTATAGAAATCCAATGACAAGGATTCAGTTAATGTTGGGTGTTTCCAGTGCTGTCGATTAAAAAAACCCAATACCCTCCTATTTGGACAGATTGTTTCTGTTTATCATGACAAAATTTCTTTAGCGTTTTATTTGCAAATAAATATATTTAAAGATACATTCACAGTAGTGCTTATGGTTGCAGCATATATCTGCCTAATAGAAACATGCTCTTTTTTTTTTTATAATTTGAAACCTTTGCATTGCAGACATTTTTCTATCTCATATTTTCTCTTACAGTATTTAATCAATGACAACCTGAGAAAGGCAGACAGTAATAACTTAAAATGAGACTTATAAGCATTGTGTCTTTCAACCCAACATACAATATTGATTTAATGATCATGTGTCCCTTAAGAAAGGTGCAGTATTTTCATTGATATGACAGACATTTGAAATTAGGTATGTCCATATCACTTTATGAAGTTAGAAATTGTAGTTGTTTGGAAGGAGGAGTACTGCTTAATAGAACTACAATGGATAAGTCTTTCCACTTCTAGAAGGAAATAACAGAATTTTGTGTATGGAAAACAGATCAAATGCAGGTTCTGATTCTGTACTCAAGAAAGTAACTCTTGTTCTGTATTCTTGCTTGGCTCTACTGTCTTTTGTGTTTCGCGGTGTCAACTTGGAAGTGCTGTTTGAAGCCACTACTATTAGCTCAGAATCGCTCATCGTGGCTCTTGTTCCGATGTCTCTAAGCTGTCTCTGCTTATGGCCCCACTTACTGTGCCTGTTGCAGTCTGTGACTTTCTGTTTGGTAATTGTGAAGAGCACCTGCCATATTCTTTCCTCAGTGTCCATACTCTGAAGAAAGGAAGAGCACGTATGTGGTTTCTAGCAGGTAATAGGCTAAACATCAGCTCTCAGAGGGGAAGAAATAAGGAACAAGTGCCAGGAGTAGTACCCAGCCAAAATATTTCATGGTATTCTGCTGTAAAGCTTGTGATCAAGTGAATGGCAGATTGGTGATCAATCTATCTCATGTTCTTTCATTGGAAGGATGTTGGTTACCTCTAGAACTTGCCATGTAAATCATTAGGAAGCAGTGTGTGTGGAGAAAATAGTAAAAAAAAAAATCCTGTAGCTGCCAGTGGAAATAAGACACTTATTTCATCATCCTTTCTTTTTCTGAGGGAATCTCATTCATTCGTCTGTTCAAACTTGTTCATTGGAGCTTTCAACCCTGCAGAACTTGCATAGTACGTGGGGATTTTTTTGCGTGTGTTGTTTTAAAGTTGGGTACTATACAGTATTTTGCTACAGATTTTTGAAATTTATTTACCAGTCTTGCCTCCAAAGGAAAATGTTCTTGTCCAACATGTTTACGTTCCCCTATTAATGGTTATAGTATCACCATGACATTTTTTTAAAGTCCTCTTGATGTTTCATAATTTGTGTAGTCTTTTCTTTGCTTAAAATACACAACTAAGGGTTCCTTAAAGCTGTTTGATACTCATCTGAAAGCAATCAGTGTAACACAGTTACATGATTCTTGATCAAAGCACCTTCCTTGATATCTCAGTCTCAGGCATCTATTTTCAAAAGAGACTTTCTTGGCAGTTGAAACTTTCTTGGCAGTTAGGTGCAAATACACACCTAGGCATGATATTTGACTGTTTCTTCTTGTATCCTTTACATCAAATTTTTTGATATAGTTATATGCATACATGTGTGCAAACTCTCTGATATATGTGCTCTCTTTCCCCTCCTTTGTGGCTTTTTTCTGATTATGTATGTTCCTTTTCATTTGTTGTTTTGTCAGAGGAAAGCAGCACACAAATAAAATGTTGAGAGAAATTTCTTTTTTTGAAGCTACAATTTTATGTAATCTATTCAGAAAAAGTTTTTTAAAGTGTTTGAAATGACACTTGCAGAAGTTTATGATTTTTTTTTTTCAAAATTCTTTGTATCTGCAAAGTTTGTTGTTGTTAAGCTTGAGCTAAAAAGTAGTTATTTCAGTTCTGCTATAAACGTTTTTAAGATGCTTAAGGCCTAATGAACAGGAAAGTAATTGTGTAACATGCTGATCATCACTTGTCATTGTCTAGAAGTGTGTGAAGCAAGGCAACTTGAGTGAATCCACAATCTATAAAAGTAAACTGTTCACACCAAATAAGATTATGCAAACTTCAGTGAAGCGTTCTACATCTTAGTTCTAGCTTATTGTCTACTGTAGCATTAATTTACTATTCTCAGCTCTTAAACTAGCTGATAGAAAAACAAACAACTAGGAATATTATCGATCTTCTTTAAGAAAGAAACACAGAAAGGCTGGCCCTCTAACCTATCTAGTGACAAAAGATATTCTCTGATCAGATTGATTCCAATTCTTGTGGCAAGTTCAGTTCTCAGCACAGATATTTTTCATTTCATATTTTGTCTGTGGTTGATCTTTTCCCAAATAGTGTTGGTGACAGAGAGGGAAAACGGATAAAATTACTAATGCAGAGATCATGCTGGTATTTTGCATTTCGTAGTTTAATTTTGCAAATTGTCTGATCAATACAGTCAGTTGACTTGATTTCCCCCCCACCCCCAGAAAGCTGCTCCGATATTTAATTTCACAAAGTCCCCTCTCAGAAATTTCAAAGGATACTTCTTTAGGTGCTTGACTGCCTTGCCTTGTCTATTTGCTCTTATTTTGTATGCAAGATAGAGCCAGAAGCCTTTTTTCTCATTGTGTACACATAGTGTTAATGGATCTGCTCTGCCTGTATTGCCTCATTACTGGAAACAGCTCAAAACACAGAAGTCTTTCAGTGTATGCAAATAAGGCAGAATCATCTACCTGAGAGTTAATATTCTCTACTTTTAAGTGTATTCTAAATCTAATGTTTGTATTTAGAACATAACATCCTGTTCTCTTTTTTATGGGCAAAAAGCTAAGCAGGCTCAGGCAGCTGTTTGATGTTGGCTTCAAGTGTTATTAATTTCATATTCTATTATTCTTTTCACTGTAGCACAAGTGAAGCTGATGTGGAGGCTGTCATGGATAAGTTGTTTGATGAGCTGGCTCAGAAACAAAATGATTGTACGTAAGTTAATTTCTCTTGAAAGAGAATACATTTAGAACACAATGCCCAATCTCCACTGACCAATTAATAAGTTCCATTGCTGTATATGGGTTGATGCCACACTCAAGTGGCAGTCATTGTATCAGCATTTTGTCTAATTTATGTGTTGAATCATGTGCTATTATTCATCAAGCTATGCATTTCCTATCTGTAAGAGATGAATTTTATAGTAATTATCCAGAGAAGATTGAGTCTTTGTTCATGTTCCCATAGTAACTAGACCAAGGATTCTGAAAGTGCAAGGCAGAGAGCTGAGGCTGAATAAAGCGTGTGGAACCATTGCAGACTTCACGTTTGAAGAGCTGTGTGACAGAGTGAGTACCCAGTCAAATCTAGATCAGTTAACGCTCAGACTTTTCACGTTTTTTTTTTAAACAAAACCACCAACAAACACCAAACATAAAAAGCCCCTGTTTTCCCAAGCTGTACTAAATTAAAAGGGCTTTTTTTAACTTGGCAAAAAGATTTTGAATTTAACAGGGAAAAAAAAAAGAAAAAGAACTCTTCAAAAGAACAATAATAATTTTCTTTTTAATGATACATTAAATTCACTCTTAAGCGTATCACAGATTGTCTTCAAAAATCCTGATACAGTATGTGCCTAGGCTAACATAATTACTGGAATATTAGCAGTCACAACATATTATGCATATGTAAAAAGCATTCAAATACTGTTTTTAAAATCTGAGGTTTAAGTTGGTACTCAAGAAAAGAAGTAGTAATCCTGGCACCACTAAAGTAAAGCTGTTGTTGCATGCCTTAGTTGTGACTAACTGTACAAGGGCTGTTTAGTCCCAGGCCTTCTCAAAATTTGCCAATTTTGCTAAATACTGCCAAATTTTCTGCTAAACATGTAGAGTGTGATTCCCGAAAAGCTCTTGTTGTATTTGACCTCCAGTGAGTTTGAAGACAATCCCTCAAAAGTTGCATTGTACTTCAGTGACCTCTGTGCTGACACCTGAAGTTATTGTTAAATGATCACAACTCTAAACTGGGCCCACAGCACCTTTATTTCAGGATCCCGACCAGTCCTTTGGTTGTAACATTGTTTTCACTTCCTTGTAGCTACCAAGTTGGTAACTGTTTGAACAGAAATTTCACTGGCTCTGTTTCAGACTGTAGGTTTTAGGCTTTGTTAGTTTTTAGTTTCAGACAAAACCAGTTAGCCATTTGTGAGAGTGAAGGTATGTCATTGGTAGAACAGCTTGCTTTTCACTAAAAGTTTTGAGACTTTTTCTTCATTGTGCCTCTTAATGTATCAGGAAACTATGCTGTCAGTGAACACTTGTAAAATTCTTTAGGCCAGCAAATGGCTTCTAAGAAGATAAATTGCTTCTAAGGAGAAGTGCTCTGTTAGCTCACATGGCAGCGGCCACTACTTTGGATCTGAAGGTTCTGATCTTGTTGAAGAATTATGTGGGGTTCAGGCCATCTTGGTGTAACGGAGCTGAGGTGCTTGGTTTGTGCTCAGAACAAGTAAAGAGAATCCTTATGAAATGTTAAACATCATGTAACAGTATTGTTCTTACATTGATCACCCAGGACTTGGGAGGTCATGGTGTCTCAATTCAGATACCTTCTGCAGATGTGTTATGGTAGTCTCTGATGGAATAATTACATGTTTAAAACTAAAACAACACAGCAGACAATATGACGATACTGGCTTGAGTTGCCTCTAATATTTTTTTTTATTGAATGTAAACTTTTATAGGGCTTCATAGCAATAGTAAAAGATTCCCATCAGTATTAGCTGCATTTAAGACCTTGCCTGCCCTGTTGCTCAGTTTGCCTGCCCTGTTGCCTTTAAAATCTTCTAAAAGGCCAAAGAACAATTCAGTTGTCAAACCATGAAACCATATTCTTTTCTTTCATGAAATCTGATAACTCTTTGATGTAAAAATGTATACATGCAGTATCTTTTTTTAGCAGTCAGAATGAGTATTCATTCCCACTGATGCCACGAAAGGAAAGGAAAAATAGGTAGGATCCAGAAGAGTGCTCTAATGGTTTGTAGCAAAAAACCCAAAACCAAACAACCCCAAAGTCAGGAGACGTTCAACATGACAGGAAGTGTAAAGTTATTAATAGATATTCAAGTATACTGGCTAATAGTGGGAACTGTTTGTGGAGGGATAAAGCAGAAAGCTGTAGGAGACATAGCCGCAAGGTATTTGGTACTGCTTGTGATACCAAATGGTAGATAAATTGACAGGCATCATGAGTGCAACTATTAAGAAAAAGGAAACTAGGAGGCTGAGAAAGATGTAAGGAAAAGGAAGATCTACAAAAGAAAATACTGGAGGGGAATTTGTTAGATTTGGCTAGAGTGAATCTGCACATTTCTTTGTGTGAAACATGGAGACCAAGTCCGTTGAGAAGGCAGATTGTGTGAAGGGACATGGGGTGGGGAATCTTCCTAGCTGGACCCTGTAGCAACCAGGAAGGGACTTAACTGAAAGCCCAAGCAAACCACAATTTAAAGTTGGAGTCAGCAGCCAATTAAACTTAAATTAGAATTGAAAACAAGATTTGCAGTTGGTTTTATATCAGTGATAAGACCTGGTGACAAGCATGATAAATGGGAAATTCTCATCAGTGGGGAAAAATGAGGTATAATTGATATTATTGAAGCCTTATAGGGCAGTTCATGAAATAAGAATGTGAAATCAGTGCTTACAGCCTACTTAAGGACAGAGTGGCTAAAAGAGGTGGAGGACAGTATGCAACATTAAAGACACTGATACCTTCTTTAAAGTTAATTGATATAAGGATCTTGAATGCATATCAGTCAGTTTACTAATTAACAACCCAAGAGGGTAGTACTCACAGGAGTCTGTTTCAAGCAAAGAACAAGGTGCATTACTTTTTGAGCACTTGGCTATAAAAAGCGTATAAAGAAAAAATACTGTTGTATGGGAAGCTTATGCTGTAGATTAAATGCAGAAAATGGTGAAATGTAATTAGCCTGAAAATTGCAAATTACAATTTTCTAGCATAAAGTGTACTACATCCAGTAAAAGGTCGTTTGGTTTGAGCAGCTTTATGGGAGCTTACAGTGATGAATTCATCTAGAAATTTATGTTGCATAGGGACAATCTTCTCCAAATTTTCTAACATTTAGTGTAACGAAAAGATACTTCCAAACAGTGAAATTACATATTTGAGTGTTCAGGAAGAGTAATTTTCAAAAGCAAAAGGGAAATATGACCAAAACTAACTGGAAAGGGAACAACAAAAACGAACAAGAAGGACTTTCTGAGGAAGAAGATAGTAAAAGTATGTCCTGTGTCACTGCCAAGACAGAATCAAATATTGTGGGATGAATGGCAGATAGTGTGGGAAAATTAAAGGGAACTTAAAGGTCATGGGCAGATATCATGTCTGCTCAGCTAGAAAACTTTTCGTTGTTGTTAAGTAAAATGAGAGTTTTGATGTGGTTTATATTATCTGAACATTATTGTCTTATTCTTAGATGGAGATAGTTGAACTTTTAATAATGATGTGGAAAAAGAAAAAGACTTTGCAAAAACATACTTGTTCTAGGTGAAACAGTAAACTACTTGTTTCACTAAAGGATAATAAAATAACTTTCAGTCTGTTAATAGTTGACATGTGAAAAAAGCCTGCAAATACATTTTGAATCATTGGAGTCCTGGAAAACTAGGCTGAGATGTCTGACTAGCTTTTTATTTTTGGTAAATCTTGGAGTGCAAGAGTATCCTGGTTTTGACTGGGACAAAGTTAGTTTTTCTTTTTAGCAGCTAGAAGAGCTCTGTGTTTTGGATTTAGTCTGGGATTTGTTATGAGAAGAATGTTGATAGTGATAGAATGTTTAGAGTTGGCACTGAGACAGGAAGGACCTTTCAGCTTGCTGTGTACCTGCCAGTGTGCAGGAGCACAACAGGATAGGGGGGAGTGTGGCTGGGACAAAGGGCCCACAACTCCCCTTATGATTTGAACTTAGATTTAGGATTGAGGGCTGCATTGGCCAATGAAATATTCGATACGATGCAACGTCGTGGCTATTATGTAGGTGAGGGTTGACTGGGAAGTTGAGATCTCTTTTTTTTGGGATTCTCTTCTGTAGGACTCCCTCAGACTCTCGGAGTTCTGTCTCTCTCTCTCGATGGGCCTCTCACTTGTCCAGGATTGCGGTGTCAGGACTTACCTGTTCTGAGAACAACTCAAAACATGACATGATTTTATTTAGTTAATGCAATTAATTGTGGTTAACTTTATTTCCTCTGTTATATTTGGTTCATCATTCCAAAACCAGTATATAATTTAAAGTAGAGGGATCAGTGAATGTAATAAAGGGAATCAGTTTGTTTAGGAAGTTTTTTTTTTTCATTACACTGAATTGTTGCAAGAACGTCTTGGAAGATTTTCTTTTTGGAGTTTTCTGAAACTGGCGAATACCGGTGCTCATATGGTTCTCTGTAGTCATTGCAGCATGAACAGACAATGTTGTAGTCAAAACTTGGTGAATTGGTTCCTTTGACCATCCATTAAGTTTTGCAAAAGTCAATGTGTGAAAGAATGAATGCTTTTGTTCTGTTGGAGAAATAGCTGATCACCCAAATGACTCTGCTTTCACATTATTGCAACTATGTGTCTTACGGTCTGGTCTTGAGCAACACTGCAGTCCAGAGGGATAAACATCCAGACTTAAAAACTCTATTTGCATTTGTTGGTGTAGGATTAAGAAGATGTGTTTGAAATTAGTTAAAAGATTACTTTTTTAGACAGTAACTTTTTGTAAAGGGACGTTTAATCTGAACAGTCTGTAAAACTTTTCAAATTCAGTGATGTTTCCTTTGAAATAAAATCAAAATTCTGTTTTTAAAGGAAATACTGAAACATTTTCCACTTGGTATCACATGATTTCATGAAATGTCAGCCAATAAATAATAGATGAAAATAGCAAATCAGCAATTGGTAACTTCATACTATTTGAAACATCTCCTAGTTTTTCAAAATAGCTGCTTTTGTAATTAATGCCTGATGACCTTGGGAGATAGACTTGATGCTCTTCTAGTATTATAGTCTATCTTTTCTTGCTTCATGTGTTAGCATCAATTTTTTTCATGTCAGGAAAATAACAAGGTATTTCTGCATTAAAAAAAATACATCAGATACCGGTAATTACCAGTTGCCCATTATGCAATGCTGATGCAAAATGCACTTGGCTTGGTAGGAAGCATCTTGTTACATTATTGTTTACATCCATTTTTAAATCATAGTTTCCTAGTTGAGGAGAATTCCAAGTTTTAGCTAATTTAGTTAAGATCAAATCCACACACACTTACCTTTT